ATTGCCTCTGTGATTCGTGATTGTCATTTAACTAGTCTTTGTAATTACCTGTTTGTTTGTCATTTAACTAGTCTTTGTAATTACCTGTTTGTTTGTCATTTAACTAGTCTTTGTAATTACCTGTTTGTTTGTCATTTAACTAGTCTTTGTAATTACCTGTTTGTTTGTCATTTAACTAGTCTTTGTAATTACCTGTTTGTTTGTCATTTAACTAGTCTTTGTAATTACCTGTTTGTTTGTCATTTAACTAGTCTTTGTAATTACCTGTTTGTTTGTCATTTAACTAGTCTTTGTAATTACCTGTTTGTTTGTCATTTAACTAGTCTTTGTAATTACCTGTTTGTTTGTCATTTAACTAGTCTTTGTAATTACCTGTTTGTTTGTCATTTAACTAGTCTTTGTAATTACCTGTTTGTTTGTCATTTAACTAGTCTTTGTAATTACCTGTTTGTTTGTCATTTAACTAGTCTTTGTAATTACCTGTTTGTTTGTCATTTAACTAGTCTTTGTAATTACCTGTTTGTTTGTCATTTAACTAGTCTTTGTAATTACCTGTTTGTTTGTCATTTAACTAGTCTTTGTAATTACCTGTTTGTTTGTCATTTAACTAGTCTTTGTAATTACCTGCATGTGATGGTTATTATACTTCATGTTTGTCGCAAGAATAGCACTACCTTGCTGATGTTTTATTGTTTTAAATACGTTAAATAAACATTTTGTATCTCGTATCTTTTCTGAACCAAAGAACTTTGATATAAACCAGTTACTTTGAACTAGTGGATTGAAACTTATTTGTCATTAAAGTGTTATGGCAAGCTAGACAATACAGAAAAAATGCCTCATCTGACCTGTATTAGTCACCTTGACCTTGGGAATAGGAACGTGCAAGGTATAAACATCAGTATCACACTTCATGCAAAGCTTTCTACCATTTAAAAAACGATTCTAACAAGGAAAAGTAGCATTTTTGACCTCTTGCTAAAGATTTTGACCTTGTGGTATGAAACTGAATGTAATACATTTGTATGTATAAAACCATAGATTTGTAGTATAGACGTCTCTGATTAGTATGTAATATGATTTAGAAATTAATCACATTTTTCTTAAAAGTTTTTAAAAATTCAATTCAATAGCTAATTTATGGTGTGGACAAGGAAAATGGTATACAACCTTGAACTCGAACAGCGACTTTCGAGGCGGGAATCTACAGCACTACATATTGTCTTCATCTGATGCAGGTGTCCAGGATGTTCCACAACTCTCTTTAACCAGTAAGTTCACTGTTTTCTGATATTCAATTAGACTATTGCTTCTTAATTATGATGGTGTCATTTTTTCACTCCAAATAAGTGAAATAACATTTGTATATCAGTACATGTATAATTATATAACTAGATTTTTTTGTGACAAAACATGTCTCCCTTAAAGGTGAAGGTTACAGTAAACCAGTAACAGAGCACTGCACACATGTGGGTGATGCAGGTATACTGAAGAGTTTCAGCAAGATATCTGAAAATTTTAAATGTTACAAGATTTTGCACTTATTTGACCTTTGACCTAGAGATGGCAGTCATGATGACCGAAGTACAATGCAATGCTACTGTGAATGCTGCATGTACTGTACACTTACAGTTATCATCTGGACAAGGTTACACTGGTTTGCACTTGAAAACACAACCCAAGGAAATGATTGCTAAGTTAATATCTTAATTAATCCTCTACAATCGATATTTATTTTATAACATAAATACAACAGTAAAATATGTAGAAAGTAGTAAGTTCATAGTCACTTTTTGTATTGAATTTAGTATGATTGTTGTTTGGTTTAAGATTTCAAGACACAAATTTAACATCCTTATATATATATATAAATATGTGATGATTAACATTTTGCAGCAGTTATACATATAGGAAACAACTAAATGTAAGTAATAAAACAATACCAGACGTTTGATGCTATCAGGCATCACAGATATAGCACCTATTTACTGTGCAGATGTACACTGTCGACTTATGGTGCAATGTGCATGCATTTACCGACATATTAAACTGTCAGCACAAAACGTTTCTGCTATTTGCAACTTGAGTAAAAAACAAACCTGTGGTATTATTTATATACGTATTAGAGTCGGACCAGAATCCAGTACAACAACAGAACAATAGAGTTTTACCAGATTTCATTCCTTTATTGCAAACAGAAATATAAGTACTGTACAAAGTTCAATGCTAAGAAAGATAACTCTGCAGGTTTTATCTTGCTGCAAGAAAACTCACATTGTCGTCCAACTTAACAACTTGCTATAACAAAATAGAAATACAAATACTTTGTTGCACATATTAGTTAAAAGACAGATCCAGATTCAAATTTAACAAATCAACTTTTTTTCAGTTGATATAGTCAAGAAAATAACAATGAATGTCTTAGTGACTTTAATATAAGTAAAGTCTGTAACAGAATTACCTTCACATATCTACATATATATTTAATTTTGTGAGTTGCAGCAAAAAAAACATTACTTCTATATTTTATTTTTATCAATTAGAGCAAATCATTTAAACTTAAAACGAAATATTCTGACCATCCAAATTCTAAATCTGATGTACAAAATCATCTTTTGGCCAAAAGTGGTTAAAATCCTAAACTTTTCTTATACAGTCGAACCTCGTTATCTCAAACTCTTTTAACTCGAAGACACCGTTTATCTCGAAGTATTTCTCCGGTTCCGGCCAAATCTCTTCTTTATCTTAGTAATTAAAACTCTGATAATTCGAACCCTGAAAAGTCGAAAAACTTGGATACCTCGAAATAAAAAATTTGTTTCAATAGCGTTATTCCAACATCAAAACATCGTCTACTTCATAGTGTTCAAATTTCATTTTGTCACTTGTTAATTCTTTGATACAAATAAAATGCAAAAGTTTCGCCATTACTCGAATACTCGGATAACTCAAAGTTATTCCACGACCCCGTCGACTTCGAGATAATGAGGTTCGACTGTATATTTAAATCAGCAAAAAGAAAATAATTTTATCACTTTTATATGCATCAGAGGATAACATATAGCAGCTGGGATATCCTAGCTAGCACTGATGAGAAACTTCTGTAGAAACGGTAAAATATATATAAGTAGATCTCGACTCAGCACAGCTAGTACCTCGTACAGCTTGTCAACATTTCATGTTCATGCAGGTTTTTTTCGTGCAAAAAAATGAAATGCATAAAACTACATATAAGACAATAATATTTTTCAGATTTCCCTGAAGTATTGTCATTGGAGTAGTGGGGTTGGTGTTATAACCTAATATCACTGTACTGTACTGTAACTACCCTTGGCATACTGTTAGACCAGGTGATTACATAACTACCCACAGGTATACTGTTAGACCCGGTGATTACATAACTACCCACAAGTATACTGTTAGACCAGGAGATTACATAACTACCCTTGGTATACTGTTAGACCCGGTGATTACATAACTACCCACAGGTATACTGTTAGACCAGGAGATTACATAACTACCCACAGGTATACTGTTAGATAAGGTGATTACATAACTACCCTTGGTTTACTGTTAGACCAGGGGATTACATAACTACCCACAGGTATACTTTTAGACCAGGTGATTACATAACTACCCACAGGTAAACTGTTAGACCAGGTGATTACATAACTACCCACAAGTATACGGTTAGACCAGGTGATTACATAACTACCCTTGGAATACTGTTAGACCAGGTGATTACATAACTACTCACAAGTATTCTGTTAGACCAGGTGATTACATAACTACCCACAGGCATACTGTTAGACCAGGTGATTACATAACTACCAACAGGTATACTGTTAGACCAGGTGATTACATAGCTACCCACAGGTATACTGTTAGATCAGGTGATTACATAACTACCCTTGGTATACTGTTATACCAGGTGATTACATAACTACCCACAAGTATACGGTTAGACCAGGTGATTACATAACTACCCTTGGTATACTGTTATACCAGGTGATTACATAACTACCCACAAGTATACTGTTAGACCAGGAGATTACATAACTACCCTTGGTATACTGTTAGACCCGGTGATTACATAACTACCCACAAGTATACTGTTAGACCAGGAGATTACATAACTACCCACAGGTATACTGTTAGACCAGGTGGTTACATAACTACCCACAGGTATACTGTTAGATAAGGTGATTACATAACTACCCTTGGTTTACTGTTAGACCAGGGGATTACATAACTACCCACAGGTATACTTTTAGACCAGGTGATTACATAACTACCCACAGGAATACTGTTAGACCAGGTGATTACATAACTACTCACAAGTATTCTGTTAGACCAGGTGATTACATAACTACCCACAGGTATATTGTTAGACCAGGTGATTACATAACTACCCTTGGTATACTGGTAGATCAGGTGATTACATAACTACCCTTGGTATACTGTTATACCAGGTGATTACATAACTACCCACAAGTATACTGTTAGACCAGGAGATTACATAACTACCCACAGGTATACTGTTAGACCAGGTGGTTACATAACTACCCACAGGTATACTGTTAGACCCGGTGATTACATAACTACCCACAAGTATACTGTTAGACCAGGAGATTACATAACTACCCACAGGTATACTGTTAGATAAGGTGATTACATAACTACCCTTGGTTTACTGTTAGACCAGGTGATTCCATAACTACCCACAGGTATACTGTTAGATCAGGTGATTACATAACTACCCTTGGTTTACTGTTAGACCAGGTGATTACATAACTACCCACAAGTATACTGTTAGACCAGGTGATTACATAACTACCCTTGGTATACTGTTAGACCAGGTGATTCCATAACTACCCTTGGCATACTGTTAGACCAGGTGGTTACATAACTACCCTTGGCATACTGTTAGACCAGGTTATTACATAACTACCCACAACTATACTGTTAGACCAGGTGGTTACATAACTACCCTCAGGTATACTGTTAGACCAGGTGATTACATAACTACCCACAGGTATAAGCGACTAGAACATTGCTTTTCTGCTTCAATTAATGAGCACCTATTGCAGACAAATCAAATTTATACATAATTTTGCACCACATCTATAATCATACTTTTTCGTACCAGGTCAATAAAACAGTGAAGCATTAACCACTTAAAGAACGTTGATTTTTTTTCTTCAATAAATTAGCACTAGTTGTTGTAAACAAAAACAATAAATTTGTAGACATATCAACTTTATGTACGTTTTTGCACCAAATTAAATGCCAGGCAAAAAATACAAATTGATATCTGAACACATGTAGTTTTATACATTGGTGTCAACAAAATAACAATTGCCTGTTACAACATGTTAACCTGTCATTACCATCCACGATCAAATAGAAACGACGGAGGAAGTACATGATGTACCCAGTAGTATACAGGTACCTTTTAATATCATTCTTATATCAACAGCTGAGTCTGTAAAACTTAACAACTATAAAGATATCACATAAAAAACAAATACCATATTTGCCATATGCAGATTGCAAGATAAAATAAACACGCAAAGCATTTCAAGCAATCCATATAATCGCCACCAAAACATCAGTATGATAAATAAACAAAGGAAATAAACAAAGGGTCGTAACTCTGTAGGGACATAAGACTTGATATCTATATTTATAAAAAAATACTTTTCAATGAGTATGAATATACATTTTATCTAAACTAATACAATTTATCATTTCTTAGGTATGGGGGTTACCAGATCAAGTAAAATTAGGGTGAAAGTATAGGCTTGCAGATGTCCTGATCTCAAATTCTACACAAAAGGGAAGAATTGTTATAGCCTCCATACTTAAAGAAAGATTGAACTGTCTTCTCCCATCTCTTACCCAGGCATCGGATAGCCATAGCACATGTATATCTTACATATGTAGATGTGGTAGAAAATTATTTTCAAAAGCAAAATGCAATGTTGTAAATTAGAGATCATCATAGTCACATTGTCCTTTTTCTTAATTTTCACTCAAAACCAATTCTATATGCTATCACTGCCTTACAAAAGCAGCCATGGGAAAAAAAGAGAGAATTTACTACAATTAAAATTCTGCTGGCAATAATTATATATTAACTATTTCTGCAATAACACATACTAGTATATCATCTCAATTACTATCTAATTTTACTCATTGTAATTTTACTTCATGGCTATTTCCTGATTTTTCTGACATAGATAAGATGTGATTGCTACATGCCATCAATAATTTCCAAAAAGGCTGTAGTACTTAATTTCTCCTTAAGCTCACAGGAGTTAGCTCCCTTAACATTATTTTTGTCTTGCATCAGAGATACATTGTATTTAATCATTAAAAAGTTAACAACTAATGCAATATAAAAGCTAAATAAGATAAAATCATAATGGGACTATGTTTCATGATATAACATAACAAACAGATATGACATATTAGATGTAGTTGTTATTTAAAGAAATTATACAAAGGGCATTAGTGATGAGGGATACAGCCAGACATTTTAATGATATACAGCTTTGGTGTTTTACGGGGACTTTATAAAGTCTATACAGTTTTCTATATTAGCATGATCTTTATGTGATGACTGTGGGCTTGTCTCTTCCAGTCAACTCCCTAAGCTGTGAAATTTGTAAAGCAATTTCTATCAAAGGTTTGAGCACATCCTGGCAAAAAGAAAAATGATCAAAATTAGTTTACAGCATATCAGAATATTTAATTATCTCAGCTACTGTTAAATATGTTTGGAGTCGAGACATTTAGACATTTCTTTGACTGATCCAGTATGAAGGAAGTTAAGCACATGTGTTTCAAGAGCATAAATATTGACCTAGTTTCATCAGAATTCGGTCACATTTAACCTAGTTATTGTGCCAAAATCAAAGTGCAGTATGCTAAATATATGTAGATTGTGCTTAACTTCGAATTTACATTCAATCTTAGTATATTATACCTGCGTACAAAGTTTCATCAAAGTCGAATGATATTAAAGCCAATCACCTATCATCTATGGATGAATGCTCCCCTACCATAATTTGTCCCATCAAAATATTTGCTTGGCTTTATACAAAAATATTTCTGAAATTTTACGGTTAACAGGTACATATATCATGCAGTCTTTTAGAACAGTAGGATATGAAGGAAAACTACTCACCTGAGGGTCTTTAGCAAAAGTGGTATTGTCCGATTCGTATCCCTCTATGTACATCCTGATGGTGGCACCACTACTACCAGTGCCACTCAGGCGGAATATGATTCGTGAGCCATCAGCAAACAGTATTCTCACTCCCTGCAAATTCAAATAGTCATTTGATGAAAAAAGATCTAGTTAACTCAATAACTTCACCTTAATAAAAGTCAATAACTAAAAAAATGTAAGTTTGTTCCAAACAGGTACTTAGTCAAACATCCAACGTCTATTGCTTAGTTGGCACACTTTGAAAGGGGCTGCTTGCCTCTATAAATAGGACAATTTACAATACTGATGTACAGTCCGTTAATTAGCAACAAAACATGTATGTTCTATTAGTATTTTAAGATATGCCTGATTTGGAATACAGTCGAACCTCGTTATCTCGAACTCGTTTAACTCGAAGACCCCGTTTAACTCGAAGTGTTTCATCGGTCCCGGCCAAAACTCTTCTTAATCTTAGTAATAAAAACTCTGATAGTTCGAACTCTGAAAACTCGAATAACTCAGATATCTCGAAGTGAAATATCGGTAATCCTACATAAAAATATCGCTTACCTCGAAGTTTCTTAAGATTCACAAGTCGATCATATATTCTTTAATTATTTGATACATATTAGACGCAGTGCTAAGGTAAACATCGTTCTCATAGAGCAGCTTACGCTCGGTCATAATTACTTCGATTAAACTTATCGTATTAAAATGTGTTTGACTGTAAAAACACTTTGTTCAAATAAAGAAACAGACTTCATCAATGCAGATTAACAACAATTAGTACTCACTGCGAGCCCGTAAACAATTTGAATGGCATATTATTTACATATGTATATCCCAATAACATTTTCCATACTAAATGCAACCCTGATTATTGCCTCCTGTACAAACCTACCTAGTACTTATTACTATATGTACCAACAAACATTGGGGTATTTTAACATCATGTAAGTACCTAGCTCTCACTTCTAGCTACAGCCATACCTGGTTCTTACTGATGCTGCCATCATTTAACATCATGTAAGTACCTAGTTCTTACATTTAGCTACAGACCATAACTGGATCTTACTGATGCTGCCATCATTTAACATCATGCAAGTACCTAGTTCTCACATCTAGTTACACCCATACCTAGTTCTTACTGATGCTGCCATCATTTAACATCATGTAAGTACCTAGTTCTCCATCTAGCTACAGCCATACCTGGTTCTTACTGTTGCTGCCATCATTTAACATCATGTAAGTAACTAGTTCTTACATTTAGCTACAGACCATAACTGGATCTTACTGATTCTGCAATCATTTAACATCATGCAAGTACCTAGTTCTCACCTCTAGTTACACCCATACCTAGTTCTTACTGATGCTTCCATCATTTAACATCATGTAAGTACCTAGTTCTCCATCTAGCTACAGACCATACCTGGTTCTTACTGATGCTGCCATCATTTAACATTATGTAAGTACCTAGTTCTCACTTCTAGCTACAGCCATACCTGGTTCTTACTGATGCTGCCATCATTTAACATCAATTATGTAAGTACCTAGTCCTTACATCTAGCTACAGACCATACCTGGATCTTACTGATGCTGCCATCATTTAACATCATGTAAGTACGTGTACCTAGTTCTCACATCTAGCTACAGCCATACCTGGTTCTTACTGATGCTGCCATCATTTAACATCATGTAAGTTCCTAGTTCTCCATCTAGCTACAGCCATCCCTGGTTCTTACTGATGCTGCCATCGTTTAACATCATGTAAGTACCTAGTTCTCAATCTAGCTACAGCCATACCTGGTTCGTACTGATGCTGCCATCATTTAACATTATGTAAGTACCTAGTTCTCACATCTAGATACAGCCATACCTGATTCTTACTGATGCTGCCATCATTTAACATCATGTAAGTACCTAGTTCTCACATCTAGCTACAGCCATACCTGATTCTTACTGATGCTGCCATCATTTAACATCATGTAAGTACCTAGTTCTCCATCTAGCTACAGCCATACCTGGTTCTTACTGATGCTGCCATCAATAGGGTCTGTGTAACCAAAGTTGTCCATGGTGGCCACCTTGTAAGTCTTGCCCCCCACATTGTGAGTGGCCCCTACAAGGGTCCCCTCCTCTATAAGTGTGTTCAGGTTGTCCATCATCTTTTTTGCCGGAGCAGACTCACAGTTCTCATAGTCATACCTAACAAACACATTAATTAAAAGGTTGGAACACAACAACTTCCATAAAATCTTTGTTATTCCAAGTTCATGGAAGCCATATAAGGAAATTTCGATAAATAGGAAATTGATCAATCTCAGATGTAACATTGGTCTTATAATGTTCCATGCTAAATAAGATCAAATCCCTTAAAACAGATAACCCCAATTTAAGTTTTTTTGCCACAAGGGAGTCATCATCAAGGTCCCTTCATTAATATATTGAATTCCATTATCCTAGCCCCAGGAATGTTCCATGCCAACCCTCGGGAGGTCATACCCATCATTTAACACAGCATTTACCCGTAACTCCCTTGGACTATCTCTGTTTTTCCTATTTGGCCCGGGCCCTGCCAATCCACTCTGGGAACACACTTTTCATTGAGGTTGAATTTTATTTACAGAGGAACACTATACCAAATAAGGTAAAAAATCTCCAAATCCTTCATCTTTAAGTTAGTAGTCTTTTATACATCAACATATACTCCTTTTGGACCAAACCCCTCCCATACCCTTAGTTTATATAAAATTGAGTTCCTTTAGTCCAGTAATGCTCCATAGCAGCTATGTCAAAATCCCTTTAACCGGCATCCTCGTTACTCCAGAGGTTATGCTCAATTGTTCATTCTCTGCAACCCTGGTATATGTCATGACTAAACTGAATGCTCGGTATGGTCATCTGCGTGGATGAGACAAGTAGACTACTTTGATCCTTTGATGTACATCAAAAGAATAGCATGGAAACGTTATGGTAAAATTGACCAGCTTTGAAGTTGGGTATTGCTTCTGAATCTTCAAAGGACAGGTATCAGCCTAGCGATTGGTCAGATATTTTTAACCAGAGACCAATCAAATAGCTTTCGTAGTGCCTTAACTTTTGCACGTCATATTCCAGTGGTGCATAGAGCATAAATCAGTGAAACCCTTGGAGTATCAAGGATCATCTTTACGTATACTTAAGGAGTTAACTTTTAAAAGATGAACGCTATTTCCCTTTTTTTGCCCCCCCCCCATCAACCAATCAGGCCAGGTCAGCTAGAAATACAAATTTAACATGATTAAGACAAACCTAACCTGGTGTAGAAGTTTCTGCCATACTGTTTCCAGTGGTCCATGAGAATATCCTCCACACTACATTTTTTCTCTGCTAGGATGGAGAGCCAGGCGAGCACAGCCCACAGTCCATCCTTTTCCCGAATGTGGTCAGACCCAGTTCCAAAACTTTCTTCCCCACAGAGAGTCAGACGACCTGCATCCATCAGATTACCGAAGAACTTCCAGCCAGTGGGCACCTCAAAGCACTCCACACCATTCTTCTCAGCCACCCTAATGTGTAACATTTGGATAAGATGTCTACATTTAAGACATGTGTTAACAAATAAAGCTAATCAATACAGTCCCTGAATTGAAGAAATACACTTACATACATTCTTTTGGAATATTTCACCTGTTTGAAAAAAATGTTGGAAAAATCAATTAACGAAAGCCGCTTCAGCTTAGTTATACTAAACTGTTTTTCTTTGTGTTTCATTATATTTAAACCAATGTTGTATACTAGGAAATTGTCACCGCAGTTTAACTTTCACCTTTTTCGCCCTCCCAAATGGGGGCGAAATTTTTCATGACAGCGAATATAAGTTCACAACATACAATATGGTAATTACATGTGGATGTTGAAATTGACACTCGGCAAACATGAGTTTTATCAGCAAAGGGTTAAAGTTTGATTGGGGGAAGGTTTCTGGTATACAGCATTACAATATAATTAGACTTTTGATAGCTGGGGTAGAACATTGTTATTACATTGTATTACATTACAATATAATTAGACTTTTGATAGCTGGGGTAGAACATTGTTATTACATTGTATTACATTACAATATAATTAGACTTTTGATAGCTGGGGTAGAACATTGTTATTACACTGTATTACATTACATTACAATATAATTAGACTTTTGATAGCTGGGGTAGAACACTGATATTACACTGTATTACATTACATTACAATATAATTAGACTTTTGATAGCTGGGTAGAACATTGTTATTACACTGTATAACATTACATTACAATATAATTAGACTTTTGATAGCGTGGGTAGAACATTGTTATTACACTGTATTACATTACATTACAATATAATTAGACTCTTGATAGCTGGGGTAGAACATTGTTATTACACTGTATAACATTACATTACAATATAATTAGACTTTTGATAGCTGGGTAGAACATTGTTATTACACTGTATTACATAAAATGTGTATAGGGCCTTATCTTCTCTCAAGGAAATAACTCCTATGTGGCTTAACATTTAAGAGATACATAATGTAACAGCGATATTAATTCAACACAATCAGGATAGTGAGGGAACAGCATCATTCATGTACAGCTTATAATAACACACGATACTGTTTTGTACCTCTATATATGTCAGGTGTGCATGAGTGTGCTGGAGACTGTAGAGGTGATCTACTTGTTATAGGTCAGTATTTCTAACAGGTGTGCATGAGTGTGCTGGAGACTGTAGAGGTGATCTACTTGTTATAGGTCAGTATTTCTAACAGTTATTGAACTATTATCTTTTCTTAGTGCACATCTCTTAACTTTACAGCTCAGAAATCATCATACCCAACCCATACCATGTACTGCAAGTCAAGTCAGTGGAGTTGAGCCACAAGGATGGAGTGTCTTGCTAAAGAACACAACCACATTCTTCCATCTGCAGAATCTGACCCTATAACTGTATCGTGAATTAGCTGGAGCAAAACCAAATGTTCTATATAGCCCCCCTTTTAACAAATCTATACTTTCTCTGTCAGATATCTGAAGGCTGGTGACTGACCTGTCTACAGCACCACTGGTGGGCATGCTGCGAGCAAACCCTTTCTTGTCGCGACCCTCCTTTCTGAAGTAGGGAATATAGTTGAGGTTGTTGGCCAGTACAGCCAGAGAGTCAGATGGGGTTACAAAGAAAGCTTCTTTCCCAAGAATCATGTTCCTGTCCTAGAAAATAAAGTATTATCATTTCATCTTAAAATACAAAAAATACCTTTTCAACTCACAAGAAACATGGATATCACAAATATGACATCCTGTAAACATACATGTATATTTTAGTGGTGATCTCATTTAAACACTTTTCATGCTTTGAATATTGTACTAAATTATGACTGCAACCATTGAAATTTCTGCATATGGTTTTCTATTGAAGAAATCATTATACTGTGTGCACAAGAATTCACCATTGCCATATATGTTAAAATTTGATAATGTTGTAAAATTTCAGTGCACTTAAGTATGTTTACGGTATTTCTTGGCTCAGCTAGAAAAAACTGATGGCAAAATTCATCAAGAAAAATCAGGGCACCATATATTTGTTTGCAGACTTTATGTTATGTACATGTATGTGTCTTGAAGAGTCTGATTTGTTTCATTTTCTGCACCAAACACAACATGTTCCTTGCTCTATACATTTCATTGTCTGATGACAAAGCCTAAAGCAAACAGTTCCTGATACATGTATTACATTTCACCTACCTACAGTACTATTTATATCACAGTCCACTACACAATCCACAAGATAGTGTGGAACTATGCTGTGATGTCAGCTACCTAGAGTACTATTTATATCACAGTCCATGACACAATCCACAAGATAGTGTGGAACTATGCTGTGATGTCAGCTACCTAGAGTACTATTTATATCACAGTCCATGACACAATCCACAAGATAGTGTGGAATAATGCTGTGATGTCAGCTACCTAGAGTACTATTTATATCACAGTCCATTACACCATCCACAAGATAGTGTGGAACTATGCTGTGATGTCAGCTACCTAGAGTACTATTTATATCACAGTCCACTCCACAATCCACAAGATAGTGTGGAACTATGCTGTGATGTCAGCTACCTAGAGTACTATTTATATCACAGTCCATTACACCATCCACAAGATAGTGTGGAACAATGCTGTGATGTAAGCTCCCTACAGTTCTATTTATATCACAGTCCACTCCACAATCCACAAGATAGTGTGAAACAATGCTGTGATGTCACCTACCTACAGTGCTATTTATTTCACAGTCCACTACACAATCCGCAAAATAGTGTGGAACAATGCTGTGATGTAAGCTCCCTACAGTTCTATTTATATCACAGTCCATTACACACTCCACAAGATAGTGTGGAACAATGCTGGGATGTAAGCTACCTACAGTACTATTTATATCACAGTCCACTACACAATCGACAAGGTAGCGTGGAACAATGCTGTGATGGACTCTGTCACCTTCATCAAAGCTGATGAACCTGACAGAGTCCATATCATTATAGTCAATGAAACATCACATATAAATATCTCACTGGTTGTGCTATATGAATATGCACACAAAATGTATTTACCAACCTGATGAAATATTTTTGAAAAGTATGCTACACACTTCCTGAATATAATTACTTTAAACAAATATGGTAATATTTTAAGCCACATTAGTACACCAAGATATTAGTTATCAATATACCCATATCTCTATTGTGTGCTGTACATGTAATCATCAGTTGTGTGACCTCTAGCTGATAATGAGTGGCAACATTGCCAGAGGTGAGAGTTATCAATATATAAACCATGATACTTTGTGAAATAAAATGAGCCAAGAATAGAACCATCTGTATGTCACAGCAAACATCAGTATAAATACTCAGAACAGAGGGCAGCGCTTTGGTTACAGGTACATCTGAGATTAAATCCTTTAATCTGGTAAACAATGTCTTTTGATGGACAGGTCAGATGCAGCATGAGATAAAGTGAGGATAGGCATTGTCCTGTGAAGGACAGATTTGAGATTATGTAAAATAGTAGATAGTGATGGAAGTGAAACTCGCATGATAAGTTTTTTGATTTGGTTTGTTTAAAGTATTTGGAGTGGAACTTTGAGCTTGGTTGTGAACCTCGGAAGGTAGTTCAGCAAGGGCAGGTGAAATACAAAAGGTCTGATCCAAAATAAAGTAAGGCCAGGGAAGGCCCACCAACCTAACTCAAAATTTCTATTTAAAATGATTTGAACATAATGAATACATGTACCCACCCCATCACCATCAAAAGCAGCTCCAAATCCATGCTGACCTTTCTTCAACTCTGTAACAAGGTCAGCTGCATAAGTCAAGTTAGGGTCAGGATGGTGACCTCCAAAATCGGTAAGGGGCACACAGTTGACAGCACTGTCTGCCGGGGCTCCCAGCTCTCCACATACAATCTTAGTGATATAGGGACCCATCACTGCAACACACAAATAAGTATACACAAAAAAAATAGATCTCTGGAACTTTTTTAATACAGTAATTAACATTGTTTAATTATTCCTCATTTAGTCTTCATACTGAAAACTTACTTATTTCAGCTGTTTTTACATTTAAGCTAATTATTAAAATGTTTGATAAGTGCTAAATATTGAATCCTTGCATCAGAGATAACTATCATTGTTACCCAGCAGTAAGCCCACCCATTACTACTGAAGTTCAGAAGAAATGCCAATAAAGAATATTTCATTGTCATGTCATATGTCCTTCCCCAACTTAGAGACAGATATGTGTTGGTCCGAAGGGTTTAATGCAGGACATGCACAGTATATCCCTAAATCAAAAAACATATAAATTAAAATTTATTGCTGATACATGAAATTAAAGGACACACAAATACAGTTACACTTACAGTATCTCGCACCTTAGAATTCTAATTAATGTCAAAATCAAGTTCAATCTTTTAAAGAATTTTGATTATGTTGGTGACTGTATTTTGAAATGATAACTTATTCCTCTGCCTATGTAAGTCCTTTATTCTTCTGGAAAACATAAAAACTAGAAAATGTCTGTAAGACATAAATGACCCTGCTCATGGACGGGACGGGATGGACATGGGCAACACTATATGCCCCCCCATTTTATGACAGGGGCATAATTAACAATTCCTATAATAGAAGATACATCTACATTTGACATAAACTCTAGAACAGTGCTGAAAATAATTTGAACACATTTTTTTTTTATTTGTAGGTATTTATACCATTGTGACTTTTTCCCCAAATACATACCTCCATGCATGGCATTTAGCAGAATTTTGAGGGATGGCTTGCCATCTGATCCAGAGAGTAAGTTACGAATAGCACCAAAATCAAAGATCTCCTGCATATACATAGCATAGTCAGCAACAGAGTCAATGACCTCTACAGTGAAGGGACGACCTTCAACCTCATATTTTGTGGATCCAATGACAGAAATAACAGGCTGCAGGTCAGGGCAGGTCTTGTATTCTGATATTGTCGTTGTAAGCTCAAAAATAGCATTCGTTACATTCTCTGGGGCTGGGCCTAAAACATAAAACATAAAAATTCATTACATGTATATGGAATATACTTTGTTTTCATTACATAGATCTACATAAAAGAGGAAAGAGTAGCATCTTAAACTCATTCCAATTGCATTTGATGTATGTGATACAAGCATCAATGAGCTTTATTAAACTCAGATGGGACAGTACAGAGTTTTGAGTTATTCATTTTATCATATATAAACTACATATTTCATAATATTTCAATCAATTTTTATATATATCAATCGAAACATATCTAACAGGGTTCAGGGCCTTTTTAAATGATATCTGTCAGTTTTACCCAATTCCCACTACCATTTGGATTTAACTTAGACAGGAAAATCCTTGGGTTCATACATGGTTCTGGATAATGAACAGGTTCAGATTAGATAGGAAAATAACTAGTTTCAAACAGGTTTCCAAGTGAAAAACAGTTCAGCTTTAATTAGACAGGAAATATCTGGATTCATACAGGTTTCTGGATGAATAAAACAGTTCAGTTTAAACAGGAAAACACTTATCACAAATAACCCTATTTATCAACTCCCAGGCTGTCCATTAGCAACAGAGGTGTTATTTCACTAGTTGGTGAGTACACTTCCTGTTATTTTAATTCCTGAGCTCTGGGGCATGGTAGTTTGAACACCAGTGCTGTTTGACATTTTGCTTCCCATTAATACCAAACTTCACTGTAAATCAATGCTTAGGTTTTGCAAGCATTTGGTTTTGCAAACACTTTATTAAACAACAAGGACATTAAGTTGAACAGACTTTATAGCCTTTCATCCCAGCATGCTTCTGGCCAATTATCATTACCCTGAACCTTTTGCTTATTCAAAAATTGTTGAAATATTTTCAACAAATTTGACCCTGCAGGTGACCATGAAAATTAACGAAGGTCATTCAATTGAACAAACTTGGTAACTTTTCATCCCAGCATGCTACTGGCCAAATATCCTTTTTGGTTATATGGAAAGTTGTTAACAGTTTTCAACATATTTGACCCCTGTGACCTTGAATATAGTTCAAGGTCATTCATTTGAACAGATTTGGTAGCCCTTCACCCCAGCATATCACTGGCTAAACATCATCACCCCGCCTTCTTGGTCATTCAGAAGAAGTCATTAACAGATTTTAACATAGTTCACCCCTGTGACCTTGAAAATGGGCAAAGGTCAATAATTTTAAAAAAATTGGTAGCCCTTCATCCCAGCATCATACTGGCAAAATATCAACACCCTTGGCCTCTTGGTAATGCAGAAGAAGTTGTTTAAAAGCTTTAAACAAATTTGATCCCTGAGACCTTGTATATATACGAAGTTTGTTCAAATGATTGTCCTTGACTTATAAATATATAAGTCAAGGACATTCATTTGAACAAACTTCGTACCCCTTCATCTCAGCAAGTTACTGTCCAAATATCATTACCCTAGGCCTCTTGATCATTCAGGAGAAGTTGTTTAAAGGTTTTAAACATATTTGACTCCAGTGACCTTGAATAAGTCAAGGTCATTCATTTGAACAAACTTGGAAGCCCTTCATCCCAGCATATTACTGGCCAAATATCAATACCCTAGGCCTCTTGGTTATTCAGAAGAAGTTGTTAAATGATAGGCGTCTTTGTTATTCAGAAGAAGGTAAAAGATTTTAACATATTTTACCCCCATGACCTTGAAAATGGGTGAAGATCATCCATTTCAACAAACTTGGTAGCCCTTTATCCCAGCATGCTGCTGGCCAAATATCATCATCCTAGGACGTTTGGTTACGGAGAAGAAACTTAAGTTGTTTAAAGTAAAAAGTTGACGTCAGACGGATGACGGAAGCTGCACCTTTGGGCAGGTGAGCTAAAAATTTAGGTAAACTATGTCTGACCAACACAAAATTAACTGGTAAAATAACAAACCTCCATTAGCAGTGTTGAACTTGATACCAAAATCTGCGTCGGGACCACCAGGGTTGTGACTGGCTGTGAGAATAATTCCTCCACCTGTCTGATATTTTCTGATTACACAGGACAATGCTGGTGTGGACATCAAACCGTTCTCACCAACAATTACCTTTTTCACCTGAAAGTCAACATTCGTAAAATTACTATACACATTTAAGGTAATTAAAATGTAAATATACAGTCCATTTGATGAATGTTCCTTAATTTAGATACAAACATTGCCTGTTTGAGTTGTGCTCACTGGCGAACTGAAAGGCCAAGCAGTTTGGGGGCACTTTGGTCAGTCAGAATAAATGTTGCACCGGCGGACTGCCTGTCATAAATCTTTTCTCAACAAAGTGTCAGCAGCTTATCATGTTTTCTTTTTCGACTGACCTCAATTTCACGACGTGTTTCAATTTTTGTAATAGGAAGGAAGTAGTGAAAAGATTTTGTGTGTATGCTTTTCATAACAAAAGGCCCTACACACAAATTATCGCTCACCTGTTTCTTTTGTCACATGAAACTGACATATAGGTAACTTCAGTCTAAATTTGGTAACTAGAACACAAGACATTTTAACATGTCTTAAATGGTTCTTAAGATATTGTTGTTTTAAATTGTGAAATTTAGATTTTTAAGCTTTTAACCCATGCTGACATTTGACCCCTGACTAGCACTTAAAGTTGACCTTTGACCTCATTACTGTAATGAAGAAAACTATTTACACAGCTGGTCTACATAACATACCTAAGTATTATGACTCTAGTCCAAATGGTTCTTAGGATATTGTTGTTTGAAGTTTTTAACATTTTTGAACCCTGTGACCTTGAAAGTAGGTCAAGGTCATTTTAATGAGGAAACTTCATAGCACTCCATCTAAGGTACATCATGACCCTTGGCCCGATGGAACTTGAGAAGAAGATTGTTAAATCTTACCCATGTTGACATTTGACCCCCCACCCCGACTAGCAATTAAAGTTGACCTTTGACCTCATTATTTGACCCCTGTGACTTTGAAAATAAGTCAAGGTCATTTTAATGAGAAAAATGTATAGCACTCCATCCCATCTACCTACTGGTTAAATGTCATGACCCTAGGTCCTCCAGTTCTTCAAAAGAAGTCATTCAAAAAAAAAAAGGTAATGGACGGACGATGGACGCCACAGTACAGCATAAAGCAGTCGAAGATACATTGAGTTGTAATAAAATAAAGCACAAACATTTCTCTTTTTTATACTTGTCAATGAATGTATTCACTTTATGAAAACATTTGAAAAAGGATATATTCGTCTCGTGAATATTCCTTTTTACAGAAAGATTTGTCCCATGATTGAGGGAAGGTGTTTGGCCCTATACTCAATTGTACCAGTCACACTCAGGTAATAGATATTTCCTGGTACGTCTATAAATAATGCTGAGATTCCAACAAATATTTCTTCATTTAAATATTGAATATTGGCATGTGTACAATTAACTTCTGATTATGAATAGTTATTGCTAAGTGGATTCAATAAGTTACAACACAGATTCATAGCGCGATAAGAAGTTGCAGTGCCCGACGGCCCCTCTCTGGGGACCCCTTTGGAAACTAAATGCATCTCGGTCACCTGCCCCCTTTCAAAACTGTCAAGTGACGTTATTGGCGCTATTTTTAACAGGGCTTTCCAGAACAATTCATGTGGTCAAACTGGACATTTGGAACGGACTATGAATATGGGAATATCAAGGTAATATAATTAACATAAGTGGATGTGCATACAACACATACAACTAACATTCATTGAAAAAAAATATGGCTCTTCACGTGATGTCCCTTTAAGGCAAATATATAACCTTATAAAATTCATATTGATCAAAATTGTTCTAAATATATCTGGAACATATTGATGGGTTTTTTTCAAACTTGCATAGAAATGTTGCTGGTAAAAAATAATGATACAGCAGCCTTTTGCCTTCTCCCAGCATAGGTAATTAGGTATATACCTCAAAAAAAAGAGGGAGACATACATGTATAATAAACATAAGATCCCTCTTTTAATTCGTGGCAGTTACCTGTGTGCTCCAAGGAATGTAAATGTTAAGCCGACTATGCTTTCACTTAATCTTAAGCAAAACGTCATTCGTATGGAAAAGGTATGAAACCTAGAAAGTGGTCGATGTTTAAAGCACGACTAGGCCTATTAGGTTACTATATGTATGTTTCACTTCAAATAAGCCGTGATTTTTACCCCATTAGCAGCACACATCTGTACAATCTTCACGGTCGTTTCCTTCATATAAAATCGCCCGTCGCCTCCGATTACCACAGTGCTTCCGACAAGCTTTTCCTTTAAACCTCCTGACAATGTGCATTGTACAAAGTTTTCGGTGTAATTGGGTTGTTGATATACTTTAACACTTTTCCTTAATCCACTTGTCCCAGGCTTCTGATCCTCAAACGGTGAGGTAGACACCGAAGTTGCTTTTAACGCCATGTTTTGGCAGAAATTCGTCTGCAACACAACCTTGAGCAGCAATGTCACGTCCCTGGAACCTTGAAGTGGTAAGGGAAGTAACTCGTCATAGCAAACCTCGATCCCGTGGCTTTATTATCACGAATGCGTTTAGCAATTATATTTGGAATAATTGCTTATACTTTTAATAAAACACAAATATCACGTGATTTTTTTTTACTTTTACTTTGTTTCTTTGTCCAGTTCTAAAATTAACTTACTGATAAATGTTTACTCTAACCACTTCCGGTTACTCCTGCTTCCTTCTCAGCGGGTTCCGGTTCTTCAGTTATAACCACGTTTGTTTTGGAGGAGTTTTTCTGCTTATGAAGGTACACAAAGCTATTTTGATAGCGCTATAATAGTCAGAAGTAAACAGTCGAGTATATGTTTCACCATGCAGCTGGTTATTTTGATGAAAGCAGGCTTGTCACATCAGAAACTTGCTTGGGCAGGCACGACCAAGAGCATCAAGATCAGCACTGGTCCTGAAAGTGAAAGTAGACATACTAATTTACAAATCACCTATGCTTAGATTAGATGAATATTTCTGATATTTATCACGGTTTCTAAGTACAAGAGTTTGATTGGTATTTATAAGCATACACATTAGTGTATTGTAGACAACGAGCACCGGTTATATGTGTTAGGAATATGTTGACAAATGTCATGGGGACAATGGCAGGGAGAATCCACTAGGTGATCGTGTGAGAAAGAAGGAGTATTTATAAGTGTCTTTAGAAGAGTGGATATGTCTGAAGGATGTTTGAAAATTGTGTTTCGACTGACTCAGATAAGAGATGTTTTGAAACTTTATAAACAAACGAAAAACAGCACAACCCTTACAGAAATATTGAGTCTCTAATGGCACACTATTGCTGCAATAGGGCCGCAATATTGCGGCGAAATCACCGCATGTTCAGATTTCTTATGCAAATTAGGTTTCTGGCAATATCGCGATATTCTGGTGATATTCTGGCGACATGAAATGAGTGCCAGAATGTCACCACTAGCGGCGATATTCTTTGGTCTTCTGTCAAACTGATTTGTGTGCTGCGATATTGCCGCGGTATTGCTGCAAACTTTCTATTTCTTTAAGGAAATTATGTATCAAAATACACTTGTTTAGGATGGATTAAAAAATGGAGAAATCAAAACTATGTCCACCTTTATTTGACACTGCGCAGAGACCAGAATGGCTGTTAATGCAGAAGGGGAGGGATGCATGGAACTATGGATGGAAAAGAGAAAAGCTTGTACATTTGTACTTTTAAGTAAAACATATACACAACCAAAACTTGTTGATGCCAAAAAGCTTCAGTTCCCCATTATAATTGCCAACAATGTGAAATTAGCCCTAATTGTTCTCCTTTTCTGTTTTTTTTTTTTTATTTATGTTCATTTTTATGCAAAAAAACGAACAAGTTTAGAACTTATGATTACACTGATGTCCCATAAAGATCATGCTGTCCATCTAAATACATGTAGATGCACAGATATATATCACATTATACAACAGCTACATGTAATCAGATCACTTCTGGTAATCTTACTTTTTGACATCGTTTACTCTCTGTTTTCCTCAGTTACTGGTTGTTTTCATGTCTTCAATGTGTTCCTAATATGTTGCATAAATCATAAATCATAAATGCGAATTCCAAATCTGAATTCCAAACATTAATGATAATTAGTATTAATTAGGAAAATCTATAGCAGAAAGCTATATATAGACACTTAATATAGAAAAACATTGCTAAAGCAAAAACATTGGAATAAGTAAACACACAATGGTCCAGCTTGATCAGAGTAAATCGCTGTTGCCTTTCAGATGCCCTATGAGCAAATCAAGCAGGCCATGTGTGGTCTTTTGTGCCTAATGTCACTTTCTGTAACTACAATAAAACCCAGTTTACTTTAAATTGTGATGTCCAGATGAATATTTCGAGGAATACATGATATACATGATAAACACAATGAGCGTGGACCGCAGTCTGCCTTCCAAGCGACAATGTCCTTGGCACACGGTAGGTGTGATACACAGGTGAGACTACCTGTTTGACGAATGGATATGTTAAATACTTAAGTTTTGAGTGGTCAGGGATAAATCAGAGTTTGAGGAACACGGGGTATTCAAACAAAAACAGTTTGAGGTTAATTTACAAAGAATATATAAGAACACAGTCGGACCAAGCTAACTATTCCAGGAATCGGGGTATTTGAGTAATGTAAGTTCCAGTTAGTGGGGTTGTACTGTATATTGTTTAAAGATGAGAAATGTGTAGGGAATCTTGATTTATTTTTCCCATGTAAACATGTAAATGTAAAAATTAAAAGATGAAATAGCAAAAAAACTAATTCGTAAAGAAAGTTAAGAATTATTGTTTAATTGTACATTCTGAGCCTCTTTTTGTAAAATTGATATTCTTTTATAATTTTAGATTCACTCCATTGACTAACCAGCCAAGTTGAAGGCAACGGGTCAAAGGTTAGAAGTCATTGAGAGCGGGTACAGGTAAGTGTTTAGTGTAAAGGGTCAAAGGTTAGAAGTCATTGAGAGTGGATAGAGGTAAGTGTTTAGTGTAAAGGGTCAAAGGTTAGAAGTCATTGAGAGCGGATACAGGTAATTGTGAAGTGTAATAGGTCAAAGGCAATAAGGAATAAGTCATTGAGAGCAGGTACAGATAAGTGTTAAGTGTAATGTTTACACACAATCAGAGACTGAGGTGTACAGAAATTGGTATTTAAATGTTGAAGCATGGTGATGTTTATATAACCAGGCTATTAAGTAATAAAAGCAAGGTGGACATCAAATCTAGTAAAGAAATAATATTGGGTTTAAGAACCATATAGAATAGTAGAATATTTCGACAAATTAAAGTTTTCAGAATTAAATAAATCCATTCTCAGGCCATAAAATTATGTTTTAATGGGGTTGTTTGATCAATCATTTACTGATCTCAGAAAAATAAGAAGATCCTTGTAATGATAATTGTTTCCATTGATTTGACAGAAATTGCAGAGACTTGTGGTTATTACGATGGATCCGATTTCCTCAGACCTCGGTGTTACAGCGGGAGAGGGGACAGAGCTCCTGCCTGAACCATTGAACATGGATCAGGATGGCCTCCAAGCTCATGGTGACCCAGGGTCAGAGACTACCTTGTCCCCTCATTCCTTTGGTGATGAAAATGACAAAGAGAATGAGGATGATAAGATGGAAGGGGATGACAGCGATGGCAGCCAAGAGCTGTCAGGGACTGACTCCTCAGCTGAGGAGGATGTAAAGGGAGACACGTCCGAGGAAGGAAAACTTTTTGGAGCAGTTTTGAATCTAGAGGCAGGCCCAGACAGTGCCACCTGTTCAAAAGAGGAATTAAAGAAGAAGAAAAGAAAGAGGAAGACAGAAGATGGAGAAGAGCCTAAAGAACAATCTGGACTGAAAGGACCATTTGAGGGCCTAGATGTTTTCAGATTGTGTCGGATTTGCGGTGGAAACTTTAGGAACCCAAAGTTACTGAATTGCTTACACACTTACTGCACAGATTGCATCCAGACCTTGGTTCAATGTAAAGAGGAGAAAACCTTCCTGAAGTGTCCTGTCTGTAAAGTGGAGGAAACTTATGAGGAGGCACCAACACTTCCCATACATCACCTGTCTAAACGCCTGGCAGAGGGAAAGGCAATGGCCAAGGATACGCAGCAATGTAGTATCTGTGCTCTTAATGCGCTGTTCCTGCCTGCAGTCAAAATCTGCTTTGAGTGCAAGGACTTTCTTTGTGAAGGATGTGCTGACAAGCACAAGTTTTCCCGATTCACCATAGATCACAAAATTACGGATCTGGATGAAGAGTCCTGGCAGGAATCCCTGGAAAAGGTTCACATTGAAAGTATGATGTGTCCCGAGCATGACAAGGAAGAGGTGCGCTTCTTTTGTGAGGACTGCTACAATCTTGTCTGTAGGGACTGTGTCATCCTTAAACATAGCGATCACAAAGTCCTTCCCGTCAACCAGGCCGTCAGTTCTAGGAAACGAGAGTTTGAGTTCAGGATGCTGGGAATGACACAAAGACTTAAATATACTGAAAGAGAGCTGAATTCCAATGATGATGCTTTAGCTAACTTACAGCGACTCCAGGAAAAGGAAATCGCTAAAGTAAAAGCTGAAGTAGCTGAATTGAAACAAAGGCTAGATAAAGAAGAGGAGCTTGCCATAGCAGCCATTACAAAAAAAGTGATCGGAACAATGAAAAGTGGAAAGAAGAGAAAGAGGAATGCACAGAAACTGGTTGATCGCATACAAGAAGTTAATTCACACTGTCTAAAATTTCTGCAACAGAGTACTGATGAAGAATTTCTGGACAATCAAAATCTTTTCATGGCTGCCATGACAACAACCTTGAATTCTACAGTCCTCCCAGAACCTCTCAGCTGGAGCAAACTTCCATTTACCCAGACTTCGAAGATCTTCCGATTGGCCCAAACTGAACCCCTGTTTATCGTCAATGACAGAAAAACTATCTTCAACTTAGTAGAGGATATGCCGACCCAATGCTTCATGGCACAGTGGCTCGCAAAGAAAGTTGATGTCAGTCGTGGACTTGACTATGCGCAGTCAGTTCAGAACAAAGTTAAGGCTAAACAGCGGGCTGAGAACAAACACATCAAAAAGGAGGAGGCAAGGGAGATGGCAGAAGCTTTAAGAATCATAAATGCCCCTTCTAAAGTACAAAATACCATAGACCAACGGGCTCTGAAAGTAAAGAAGGTACAAAACTCAACTGTACCCACCCCAGGAGGAGAGGACTCTCAGCAGGATGAAGAGGGAAAGAAAAAGAAGAAACCAAGAAACAGAAATAAAAACAAAGATGGCACTACACTAGATGCAGATCAAAAATTGTCGGATCCAGCACAGAAGCCTAATGCAGGGCAAGAACAGAAACCAAAGATTAAAGTGGAACCAGAACAGGGGAACAAAAAGCAGCAACATGCGGCCATGGCAAGGTCACTGAAGCAGAAGATGGGCGGACAAGGACATCCTAGCCAATTTGTCTCTTTCAAGTTCAGTTCACAGATGCCCAATTTCAATGCAGGTATGAATGGAGCAACTGCTGGTCCCCTACGTATTCCCACACTTACTCCACTGTGGCGAATTGATCTTTACCTGCGGTCCGACAAATTCCAACCCAACATTACTGCCACGCTTTGTATCGGGTTGGAGAAGGTTGCAGTAGCAGATAGCAGTAACAACAAGATCAAAATGTTTGCCACGTCTGGAGAATTTTTGGAGGAGCATCCTGCCTTCCAGCCTGTCAGTCTGGCCTACTGTGCTGGAAAACTCATTTGGTGCAGTGAAAACACACTGGGTTTCCTGGATCTGGGCAACAAGGAAAGGGGAGAAGTGACCTTTGACCTTGATGCTGTACCACATCCTTTGTCGACAGGGAGCATCACTCAACTCCTGATCGGTAATGGACAGAACCTATGTGAGTACAACTGGTCAAAAAAGGAGAAATATTGGGCACAAACCAATAAGATCCTTCCGAAACATTCCAACAAGAAACGCTTCAAGAGCAACATAATGAGTCTAACTAACAGTGCAGGGAGCCAGACGATTGTCTACAGTGACTGGCAGCAGAGCAGTGTGGTGTTCATGGACAGTTCTGGTATCATCAGCAGTAAGTACTTCACTGTCTTACTATATACAGGGAAATTTTCACTCTGCAACAGTAAAATCAAATTTTGCCCAATATCAAATTAGCCCTTCACATTTTATTACTAAGTATATTATGTTGTTTACAAACGTTCGCTGTAATGATAAAGTTGCCCTCATGACAGAGGTAAAAAGGCGAAAAAGTTCAACCACAGTGAAAAATTCCCAGTATACAGTATATATATGTCTACATTAGTGTAGCCTGTCCAATATAGGAACCTACCATATACAACCTTTGCATGTGGCTAGGGTTATGACACCATTTTATTCTAGTTAATGTCATTGACAACCTGTTCCCAGTAGTGAATCACTCGGTTGACTAAGATGTCGGGGTTCTGTGCTGTTGACAACGTTTCATTGATGATAGATGTGAACAATAATTATCAGACAACATGTTTAAATAGATGACAGATGGATAGACTTGATAATGTAATTCTGCAAATTGAATGGTATTTAATCGTCATATTGGTCAGAGAAGTGTTGGGACTTTTATGCATATCTATCAGGAAAAATGAGATTATGAATTTACTGTGAAATCCTGATGATAACATATACATTGCATTAGCAAAAGTAAATCTCAAATTATTGATGTGTACATTAGTATTGTGAAATTTTGGTTTACAGTGTTATATTAAAGCAAGCCTAGTATGTGCAAAGAATGTTTGGTTGAGGATGTCATTGAATGTGTTATTATAATTGGTGCTTTGCATCATGTACTACTTGTATCTGACTTCTTAAATCTGTCTTTAGATCATTTGTTCCTTAATGGAAATGATGCTTTTCCATTTTCAAAATATGAAAAAAAACCAAGATCTCTTGGTTAGATAAAACTGGGCATATGTATTGATGATAGGAAAACTTGTATATAATATGTACTATGTATAATTGCTAATGGTTTTTAATTGTTATTAAAAGAAAATTTTCCAATCTTATACTTATTTATGTATTCCTACAGATATTTATCGTGAGGCTGACAAACAGAATGGCTTCCTTCCAACTGGATTATTCTACGACAGAACAGCCAACACAGTATTTGTACTGGATCACCAAGGAAATCGTCTGGTTTTGCTTAATAGCGAGGCCAAATATGTTCAAGAATGGTCTACATTGCCAGCCATTCAAAAGCCGCTAAGTGTCACTGGAAATAGGTCCGGGCAGTTGTTCATCACTGGCAGTGACCAGTTCCTTCACGTGTACAAGTTTGCCTACTAAGTGGTCCTTTGTTATCCTCTGTGACTACACAGGTCGTGTATTACTGTAGTGACTGTTACAGAACCTATGTTTATATTGGTAGACGTGCATAGTCAACAATTAGAATCATTTGTTCCAGAAACAGTTTATAAACTCAGAGGTCGATCTATTGGAATCCAGATTCTGTGACAGTGACCAGTTCACTCGGAATCTTGTTAACCCGTAGAAGGGCCAGCACATCTGGTGTTGGAACAAGCCGAGGAAACCAGGACTTAGTTGTACCAGACTCCATTGACATAATGACACCTTAGCATAAGGATATAAGCAACATTTCACATGATATTTATGTTAGAATAAACCCCCTTCAAAATGTATGGCTTTATCTAACATTAAAATCAGAATTCTATCAGTGCATTAATTTTTGTGTACCATTCACTTTGTCATCAATAAATCATCAAAATCCTTAATCCTGATTACAGAAGACCTTTTTTAGAGTGGAAATCTTTTAAAACGAGGATAGTAATGTAGCCTATAACCTTAAGTCAAGTTTTTGAAAACTTCTAGCTTGAGACAGGTATTTTATTACAAATTGACTACATTATTTATTTTGAATTTAAAATATCCTTGTTTGGATTTCAACTTGAATAATCATAAAAACGTAAAGGACTGAAATTAACCTGCATAAAGTTAATGGCTAGAGCTGGTACCTAGGTGGTTTGTTAACCATTTGGAGGATTGGTTAATTGTTTTTACAGAAGGATTGACCCACACATATATGTTTGATTAGTGTACATGTTAGTGGATAATATCTCTGTATAGTCCAATCACAATGACCTGTCGTGTTGACCTTTGATTACCATATTGATTTCTGGCGAGTCGATACCCAAATAGGGAATATACATAGATCTATGTCACAGGTATGCAGGAGTTAATAAATAATGATAAAAATATGAGGAATGTGTTTTGGCAAAACAGTCGTAATGGCTAAATGATTGTCTTCACTGAGAGTATATTTGTTGGTCTTAGTATGTACTCGATACACCTGGGCAATATCGCTGAACAGGTGAGCTTACCTACCCAAGGAATGTAACTGGCCAGTATGAATATTTAATGAGGAGGTCAACGCGATAGGTCATTTGTGTCTGACTATTACGTTTTTAGATATTGGAGGGTATGTATAGTATTGGTCTTTTTGTATTCAGTGTGCATATTGGGTAAACAGATTTCTTCAATTGTAAAAAGTGGAATTTTTATTGCAGAAACATTTTCACTAACATGACATTAATCGTCTCTGTATATCACATCCACATATTATCTTCAAGAGTACATGTCACATTTAATACTTTTGAAATTATCATCTTGGTAAGTGACAAACATAAATAATATGAACTTCTTAGAAAATAATAAAGAATGTGGATGAATGGTAAAATACCACTTTTAGTATATTTTGAAGAGTCAAACCATGAAAATTTCTGCACAGGAAAAAAGCTTTTTTATATTATGGAAATTTGTTTACTACGTAAGGAGCAGGTAACATGTTTCTTTTTCTTTTCATGTAAGATATTACAAATGAAATATAATATCTTCTATGCTTACTACTTGACAAATTGATTTTAGAATTACAAAAATCTGTTTGAAACAATGCTGTCTTTATATAGGTAAATACCAGGACAGAATTGCTTATAATAATTGATTATAATTTATATAACTTCATTGGAGAAGTCTTATAAAAATTATGTCTTCTTTGTTAGCTATTTAACAAATTGGTTATCTATAAACAAAACATTTGATTGCTTTGTTGTAATCAATCATAACTTTATAGATTGCAGAATTGTTTCTAACCTGTTTGGGATTTTTTTAAATTCAATGATAAAGTCTTATGAAAGATTCATGACACATTCAGAAATAAAAAAAATAATTTTGTAGTTCAAGGTCATGCTATGAAAATAGGTTTAGACATTTCTACAAAATTTTGTTATTAAATATTGTTTTGTGTTTTCCTGTAAATAGATAAATTTTCAGGTAAAAATTGATTTCCAGCATTCATTAACAAGTCTCTGTATATTGTTTTTGTAAATGTATGATTTTGACATCTGTAGAATGTGCATGTACAGTGGAAACTCGTAAACAGATATCGTGTTCTTCAATCACAAGCTTAATTCAAGTTTTACCTCTATCATATGTTCAGAAATATTGGATTTCAAAACTGAAATATATGTACCGTATTTGGCCTAATAAAAACACTGTGTGCTTACAAAAACACAAAAGGGTGCGCTTATTAGGTCAAATACAGTACAAACGTTTTAAAGTAAAGTTTTATGAAGAAGAACCCAAAATGATAGTCTGAAATGACACTATTTTTATGCCCCTGCCAAAGTACACATATACATTGACAGACCATTTTAGGGTTCAAAGGTAAAGGTCACCATCACAAATAATGACTAATTTGCATGGGAAGGCTTTCACTACAATGTGAAAATATTTATTTGAACAATTTGTGAGAAAAAGTTTACTTTTAAATGATCACATTTTATTCCTAGTTATAATGAGTCATTAAGGGAATTTTTCGGAGTTTTACAAATTTCCACCGTACAAACGATGTCGACGTAGCACTGGAGGTGGAATGTGATTGAGGAGAGAGATACAAATTGTTTGTTAAAGAGTTATGATGCTTTGACTTGAATACATACTTCAGTTTCTATGTATTATAAGGGTCTGCAGTTACAAAATAATGTCAACAGTTATATATATCGTGCACACCTTGTCCCTATTGTCATCCCATCTTTTTTGACAAAAAAATGTGAATTTTATATGTGACATGGTGTTTTAAGTATGTTTTGCATGGAATTTGAAAGTGAATTAGCCATGATTGGGCTTGTTGACTCATGTTTTTACACAAATTTCATTCAAGTAGTTTTATTATACTAAATAACTTAGAAACAAACACAAAATAATGTGAAAATAAAGCTCTTTTAATTAAGTTAGTTTAGATCAGTTTTGTGTAAGATGATATCTTAATGGAAATATTTGTTTTTTGAAGAATACTTATTCTAATATGAGATTTAAAAAAAATAGATGGCCAACTGTCACCAAATTGGATCATTATATTGAAGTCATGTTTCATATCAGCCACTATATGGTTTCTTGTCAAAGCACCTGGTACAGAGCACTATTCATTTTCTAAAAATCTTACTGGGAGATAACTATGTCATACATACAGTCAAATCTTCTCAAAAGGGAGACAAATTGTCTTACTTGGTAGATCATTCTTACTCAATTTAAATGGATCAAATATAGCTAATTTTGTTTTCTCATATAAACAATGTCTCAAGTGCTAATACATGTTTGAATAGGCATGTCAATTAAAATGGGACCAAAGCAAACACAACAATCGCTATCAGTTGTCTTGACAACATGGAGGCTTTTTCCCAAATCACTTTCCCAAATACCATTTCTTTTCCTATTGTAGAGTTGGATATATTGTGCAATCATTTTAGTCATTTTGGTGCTTTTGTACATTAATAGCAAGGCCAAAATTAATTGAATCTGCTTTTGTAATAAGAAGTAATGTTCCTGTCTTTGTGCATGTTACGCCATTCTCGAAATTCCATTGGTTAGGCTATCTTACCTTCTCTGAACCCCTTAGCATATCTCATGATCTCATGTGGATGATACAAGAAGACTAGTTTGATCCTTTGATATACTTCAAAAGAATCTTGCGGCCACGTAATGGTAAAATTGACTGCCTTTGAAGTCTGGTATCACACCTCAGTAATCTTCAAAGGACGGGTATTAGCCTCACATTTGATCAGTTATTTTTAAACCAAAAGCAATTAAATAGCTAACTGCATGTTTTCGTTTTTTGTCATTCTGACATATTATAATGTCATGTTCCCCAGGAATTTTGAGGATGATGTCATGCCAGAGACGTGTGATATCAGTCTCCTGGTTTATTTTTTGCTTAAAACCTGGTACGTCGGTACTAGTGCTAGATCAGAACTATCTTCCTGCAAATTGATATACACAGAACAATCCAGTGTATTCCAGAACATTCAGTAAACCCAGTCATTTACAGTATTGATTTCAAAAGCCATCAATGGATGTTTCATAAATCATCTTTATATGATACCAATTGATACCAATATTGAACTATTGACACAAGCATCTTGTACTTGTAATCATCTGTTGAGCTTCTAAGTATTAAGGATCCCTTCCTCTACTGCCAATAGTTTCTTCGTCCTTCATGATGGAATTTTTTTATACTCATGCTGCCCCTTTGATATACTATTTAAGTCATTCACCCTTGAAATTTCATAATGAACTATTCCACAATTTGAATTGGAAGAGTTCAAATGTGTCTTCAGGGGTGAATGAGTTAATATAATTTCTTACACATATGGTTTTATGTAACACAGTGAAACCCTGTGTCACATGACATTCTTTGAGTTACCAGCCGTCTTAGGGTCTGGCAGTAGGTTAGTTATATGCCTGTCCTTTGATGAGCATATTATACGAGACCGTTAAAAGACTCCACTTCTGTTTTTGAATGCTTTCGATCTTAAGGACAAGTGTGACATTGATATAATTAAGCATCCAACTGCATTTTGTTCAGAGTTACGGTCCTTTTAATTCTGGACAGGATGGCAGACAAATCAAATAACATGCAGTATCAATATTTTTCTGATCAGAATTTCAGGACAGTATATATTAAAGAGAGTGCAGTTTCATGCCAAAATTTTTTCCATCACTTTTGCCAATAAATGGAACAGCCAACAGCCAGTATTGGCCAGCTGTCTCCAATGCTATGATTACGGCGTCACCATTGTAATGACGTCATGATGATCATAACTGATTTTGGTAGGTTTAAATTGTGGTAATGCAGGAGAAATGTAAATACCAAAAAAAAGTGTAATCTTTAAATCTGAGCAAGTCTGCATAATAAGGAAAGTAGAGTACTGGGACGGGAGGAACATGATGTAACTGTTGTGTTGGTGAACTGGTGTCTGTAACTGTTCATTATTTTACATTTACTTTGATTTATGACAGCAATTAGGTAATTCCATTGTCAGTGTGTTTCAATTATTGCAATAAAATTGCTGAATCTTCTTTGTGTTTTTTGTTTTTATTTTTCCATGTTGCCCCATCCACAGCAGAGGCCATAGCATTGTCTGTACATAAGACAGTAAACGTTTGTTCAGTAAATTGTAACCAAACCAGGGATCAAGACTGCAACTGTTCCCAACTTAAAACCACAATATGCTTTTATAGAAGTCTAACCAGGAAAAGGATGCTGGTCGGCTGTTCAAATTGCCTTTCATCTTTGGAACGTCATTCATCCTGAATCCATTTTATGCTTCTTCTCAAGAATTTCTTGACAGATTCTTCTTAAATCATGTGCAGGTTTCCCTTAGTCCTTTTTTCAAGATTTGGGTAAACAATATGTCTACCAGGCAGCCATCTTAGATTTTTACATTTGGAATATATTACCACTATTTCTCAAAAAGTACTTGACAGATTTTTCTCAAATTTCACGTGTAGGTTTCCATTGGTTCTTAAATGTGAATTTATACTTTTGAGACTGATCAGGGAAAATAAGATGGCTGCCAAGTAGCATTCTTGAAATTCAGCAGCTAATTATACTATTTCTCAGAAACTACTGGAGGGATCTTTTGAAGCTTCTGTCTGGGGTCCTCTTGACTCGGTTCTTAGTTATGCATGTTACATTTTCAGTTTTACTGGGGGAAAAGACAACCACCAGGCAGACATCCTGAATTTGACTTATGAAGTCTGTAATCCTATTTCTTGGAAAGTGAATAAGTTATATAGAGGGATGGGGGTTGGGGGCAAGAATGCAGACTTTATAAGGTAAAGATAAAAAGTTAAAAGTGAATGTCATAAGGATATTCACATCAGTAAGTAATGACTGGCATACATGTAAAGGTGTGTACCAAGTTGTTAGAAAGAGATAGATAATGTCTACATAGACCTAAGGTCAAATAACAAGGTCAATTGTTTATCTATTTATTTCCTTTTTTAGGTATTGGGTTGTTATCAAACAAGATCCCTTTTTAACTTATCCATAACGAAAAAAAATGATGAAGAGGCTAAATGTTACAATGTTAATTTTATTTTAAGCTGGAGTTTCTCACCAAGCCTTGAGCAGAGTATGACAACTTTTATTGTAGTTTTCCATGGATATGCATAAAGAAAACTTATTAACATTTTAGACTTTAAGGATTTAGTGTCTGTCTCTAAGTAAGGAATGCAAAGATGACCTCAAACTTTATGTTACTTTCCCAATTACAAAAGAAGACGCATATCCCTACATTTATCTAGTGGTCTGTGAATCATGAATCTCTTACTCTGCTGATGTATAGATCACAGGGACTTGCTAATTGGTTACAGCTATACATGTATTTGGACCTAAACTAAGGTGTTCAGAGTAATTTTATACGTTTTAGGGGTTAAGATCGACTTTCAGAAAAACTGCCACCCCCAATGATGATAATCATGTCCCTAAAACGTGTAAAATTACTCTGAACACCTTTAGCTTAGGTCCAAATACATGTATAGCTGTAACCAATTCTCAAGTCCCTGTGGTGTACATCGGGTGATTCGAACCCTCAGGATAAAATATCGAAGAAAAACTTATACATATGATAACCAAGATCCAAGAAAATAATTAATCTTTAATAATCTCGAAAGTTCAATTGGACCCGAGATGTCTGGCTATAATTGTCTTCTTTACTGAAACCTGTGTTGTTTTTCAGGGCCGTTTTCTTAATTCTAAGTGTGATATCGACGTTTGAGAGAAAGTATCAACAGAGCCCCTTTGAGTATCAATGCCTTGTAGAGCTTTCAACAGCAAATTATATACTGGTTAACACGGCCATCAATCACTTGTTCACGATACAAATGTCGTTCTTTATCCCGATTCACCCCACTTGATTAGTAATCCATTATTCTGAGTTTATTCATATTACTTAAAGCCAATTCTACATAGCTAAAGGTCCACATCAATACAAAATCCAATATGTATTCATATAAAACCATTCAACGGGTATCATGCCTTAAGGTTAAGGGTACCGACAAGTGAAACTCTATAACAACCAATGTCACAGGGACCTGGAAATTTGTTACACCTTTATTTCGACCTAAACTAATGTGTTTAGAGTAACATTAACACCGGGGGGGGGGGGGGGGGGGGGTAGATTTATTCTCGGTAAAAATGATGTAACAAATTCTCAGGTCCCTGCGACCGATGTCACTAAGGTGCAATATTGTCCTCTTCAATGGAAGGACTAACCCGCATGTTTTGAAGCAATGTACACAGTTGTACACAGTTGTTCGAAGTTTAAATGTTTGAAAAAAGAAAAGAAAACAGAAATAGCTGATGGGGTCTAAATCAGGATCTTTTCATTGAAAATGCCTACACTTTAACATTGTTTCCATCTAGAAATTATAAAAGGAATGTCTAATTTATTGGCCGCAAAGCCTATGAAAATCTTTAGCCTGAAATCATTTTGGTTGTTTCATCTTCTATGAGAGAAAAAAACCGCGATTGGTACCGTTTAACAATTAACAACAATTTCGGTAAAAACAATACAACATGAACAGTCGTAGTAAGTTAGTATATTAGGATTTTAATAATAAATATAAATAAATAGCATACGAAGGTGATACAATACTTTGGGGGGAAAAATACTTTCCGAGGAAACTTCACCACTAAACTTCAACCGTAAATATATTATCAATTCGCGAAATAAACAATTGCAGATATAAAAGCCTTGTTTTTTTTGCTAATGCTAAAGTGAAAATTCGCGAAAAACTCTTTGCGATAGCTGCTTAATGCAATAAATTATCTCGAAAGCTACATGTACAAATTATTTGAATTACTAAGTGGAATGGCGTTCATAGAAAATACTACAATTTAATAGTAAGAATCAAAGAGGCAATCTACAGCGTAGTCTTCAATCAGGCCTCGTGTGTCCTGTACATGAGGCAATACACAGTAAGTCAATGAAATTGATTATACTTTCGTGTAAATGACCTAAAGACGCTGATCCAGTTAACGGACGAAAATAACAATATATAGGGCTAAATTAAAGAGTTTCGTTAGACGTTCTCAATGACTCGGTCGAGATGTGAGGGTAAAAGTTACAGAAACACACCCCAGCAATAAAATAGAAGCATACACTAATTGCGTAATGTTGTTAAGCTATATATTCTTATACTACCAACACAGAATCCATTTTACTTTGTTACTCTCTAGTCCATTTCATACATTGACCAATAAGTATGTGGTCAAGGACGAAAGGCTATTGACTTTCAATAGTCTGTTTAATTCTTGACGAAGAATTAAGATAATCCTGGATTTTTTTTTAACCCAAACATTAACGTTTCAAGCGTATGTCCTTTAACCCTGTATATGTAGATAAAAGAATTCAAATCACACACTACGTCACTTCCTGTTTATCCATACTTGCACATGTAAATGTTTACAAAGTTGCCTTTGCCAGCAACGAAGTAGTGACCGTGGGTGTCACTAGCCAAAGTGACGGGGCGCTCTAGCTTATCTCGCCTGACCTTCCGCTTGTGAATGACCTTGAAGTCAGGCGAAAGAATCATGAGCTGGTCGTTCTGCTGATCGGCCACGAGAACATTGTCGTACGCGTCGACAGAGAGTGCCCCGGGCATCCAGCCGTTGTTATAGCGCCCGATGGTGCCACATTTGTACTCGTGCAGTACACTGGCGTCAGTATTCGTGTGCACAATCGAGAATGACCCCCAGTCGGAGGCCAACATCTCGCCCTTACTGTTCGATGTGATATGCATGGCAGTGCGATGCATTCCCTTTCGTCTAGCTTTGGGCATGGGAAATTCCTGAACAAACTGTCCTCTTGTGTCGTAAACTTTGAACATTTGTTGAAGAGGAGAGACGAATGTGAAATATCTCATTTGGAAATTTGACACGGCAAACAGTGACCCCGACCCATCCAGGGGAATCCTGCGTTTGAATTTTCTATCCGTGGAAACGAGCTGGATAGAGAAGCGATCGCTAATACATACGACGTTGCTACACGCAGCTACGGCCACAGGCCTGCATGTGAGCAGGTTGTCAATATAAGCCCCAGTTGTAGAAAAGAGTTTCACATTAGAATTGCTTGCATCAGCAATCACCAGGCTCCCATTGCCTGTACAAGCCAGGCCCGTGACTTTCGGTGGTAGGTAGTCGGTGGGCCCTGTTATGTTTATCCTATCCATGAACTGGAATGATACTATCATCGTTTTGCCGAATCCTTTGGATATTCTAGAAGACGTGACGTCTTCACTTTCAGGTGTAAACTCGAAGACGTCTACAGCCTCTGTGATCTTGTATTCGTCCGTCAGACTGATGTTGGGGAACTCCAGTGCTACATCTGGCTGGTCCGCTATAGGGGACTGTGCCAACTCCTTGAGCCGTTTTGATAGAGCCGGTGTCATGAAGAGTACTTCATCTTGCTTTCCGTTATGCGTGACCTGGTGACAGAATGAAAGTCCACTGTTGATGCGGACAAGCTCCTTGTCGATTTTGATTCTGTGATCACGACACTCTGTCCTTTGAACGTTCATGTGTAACTGGAGTTTACCAATCACCTCTTCTCGTTCCCGATTTAGCTTCTGTATCATCTGCTGGGTGAGATCGTTCACGTAGTCTATCAATGTCTGCTCCTTCGTGTTAATCTCTGACATTGCCGTGTCAATTCTAGATCTTTTAAGTGAAATCTCGCGTTGTTTCCTAGCGACACTTCCCATATGACTCATCAGATTGGTTTCCGTTGCTTTGTGAGCGTCGTGTAAAGAGACGCACTCATGTCCTCGGTGATCATAGATCATACACTCGCGACATACCATCGTGTTGCATTTCTTACAGAAGCTCTCGAACGGCTCGTCCTTATGATGGCGACACTTAACACGGATTCTCTTCCTAATCTCTCCGTCGTATTTGCCAGTGGCGATCTCCTGGAGCGACACCACGCGATGATCTACTGTGGCACGTGTCGATAAGTGGGCGCTCCCACAATCGTCACACAAAAGGTCGACACAGTCAAGACATTCGTATTTGGCTGGTGTTTTAATGTTCCGTAAAGAACAAATCTCGCAAGATGCAGATTCCCCCGTTTTCGAGTTTTCCACTCCTAAGATTCCTTCCAGATATACGTTGTTGATGAACTCAGGCGAGATCCTTGGGATATTTTCTTTACATTCTGGACAAGGAAATGTTTGTTCCTCGGACGATTCAGTCAATACTTTGTCAAGGCAGGGAAAACATAGAGAATGTAGACAAGGTAGAATACGGGGACTGGAGAATGTCTTGTCACAAACACTGCAGACTATCTTCGGTGTCGAGTCCACAGACTTTACGATATCATCCATGACCGCAAAGACGTCGACATCGTCTTGCGCTTGGCCATTATTTACTGGAACAATCTCCATTGATTTTGACACAGCTGCGGTGGTGTTGTTGGTTTTTGGTTCCTTTTTCTCAGATTTGAAACTCACGCGATTCGTCTTAGGACTAACTATATCCGACCCGCTCTTACCACCCAACCTTGGAGTAACTAAAGCCTGTGTCAGAAAAATGCCGCCACTCTCGTCTTCTTCATCCTCTTTTGACTGCTGACTCTTGTTGTCAGAAACGATGGAACTTGGCGTTGGATCGGATTTCTTTTCCGGAACTTTAGGTCCATTTTGATGTTTCTCTACAGTCTCTTGTTCCTTCTTTGGTGCTTCGTTACTAGGTTTGTCTTTCTGTACAGTATTCGTGTCGTCCGTTGTTAGGCGAGTGCTCTTGGTGTTTTCTGTAGCCTCCATTTTAGGAGGCACCACAGTAGAACTGTTTGGCGATTTCGAGGAATCCGCTGTTACATCACTCATCCGTTGAGAATATGGTTGACCTTTGTCCTCTTGGTTCTGAATTTGGACGGCAGGTGAATTTGGACTGCCATTTCCACCGTTCCCATTTGTGATTGGCGAAGTTACCGATTTATTTTGACGAGCACTTCCACTACGGGACGCGTTCCTGCTAGGCGGTGTGGCTTGCCTGATCGGACCATCATTACTACGCCCAGCTTTATCACCTGGAGTTCCAGATCTGGTGTGACTATCATTGCCAGTTCCGATGCCTGGGATCGATTTTGAATCACCATCCACTGCCGCCATCACTGCCTCTAATTCACCTGCAGGAATAATAGATCAATATAAATCTCGTTGATAATACAGGGGCATTTCATCTCAATCAAAGTAAGCACCACATATATATCAGAGGACAAAATCCATGTGAACCGTCTCATTTCTGAAATATTTACTCACAGATTGCAGATTATTCATGTCTTTTAAAGTAACGTCATTGAAAGCTTTTAGATTTCATATTCAGTCAAATAAAATCGAAAACAAAAATACAATAAAACTTGCGTGAAAGCTAACCGGTCTTGATTTCCACAATTCCAATGTTATTTATGGCCTTCAAATATACACAGTCGGTATATAGATCCAGTTGAGCGGCGCTTATACACGTTATAAGTAAAAACGATTTAACTTTTAAGTGACATGTACATTCCTCTAGTTAAAGGTCTACTCTATTACATATCGCGTAATTCCTCCGCGAGGGGAATCCGAAATCCGTGTTGTCATGACAGTGATCATTCCGAGGACAAACTTCCGCTGTCGCCAAAGGTTGGCTAAGCAATAAACAAGTTAGTTACATACGAACGCAGAAAATGAAAGCGCCTTAGTCGACAAAACGTTTATGAATTACACCTAGAACATGTCTCATGTCGTAAATTCTGCTATAGTTCATTATAGAATCTCGAATGCCATGGTTTACAACAGTACACATTTTGTAATTGCCAAGGTATAAACAATTAAAATCGTAGAAAGATTTTGGACGATTATTTTCTCTTTCGTCATTATATCAAACCAAACACATACCATCATTCAAATATCTTATCGGTAATTTAACGTTAGTGTTTTAAACAATGAATTTAGAAATTGAGTTAAAACCAATAAAAATGTCGTCTTACCTGGTTGACAATTCACATGTACGTAATTACAGGTAAACAAATTTACACCTGAAGTCGACACACACTTTGTGAACAGAAGTAATAAAAGTCGGCCCACATATTTTCTATCTAAGTACACACACAGAGGAATAATTCCGATAGCATGGACAGGTAAACACACAAATCCCCGGGTATGCTTTTCAATTGCTGCCTATATTGACTATAGCCGGAATGGTTTCAATTCTGTGTGACGTCTTTATCACTTCGCTGGTTCTAAAATAGTCAGGGTTATCGAACCGCAAACAGTCTAATCCCTCGCTATGTCCACAGGGGGAATACACATAACTGTTGATTTAAAAGTCACAGGTAACAATACAACAGGTATAATGCGGACGATTTGTGTTTGACGTACCTGTGTTAGTCAGGTACTGACTTTGTGCTGTAACCGAACCGCTAGCACATTGGTAGTTATTATCATAATTACTTGCCCCATTGTCACAAATGTTCAATAACTTATCATTTTCAATAGAAACGCTTGAAGTTAGAAAAATCCTTTAAATAAAGAAACGTTCCGGAAACTCGGGTTGGGTTAGAGTTTACGGCAACTTATGTGTGTGTTGAATGTTTTGACACGCTGGTTTAAAGTTATCTAGCTAGAGTCGAGAAACTTTTAATCCGGAGTTTTATCATACCGATCAATGAAATACTGAAATTCCCCAGCACAAACTGTCCTTATATGTATATATGGGCGAAGTCCAATTTTTTTGCAATTTTAATATATTAACTATGCTCCATGCATTGAATAACTGGGTATATAATACCCAACAGAACACAAAACGGCCTGTGTTCAGTATAATACTTTAAACCTTGAATCGTCAAAAATGGCTTGTTATGCAGATTAATTTTAATATGTGTTGACAAAATAGATTTGTTATGAACTTAATCATATACCAAGTACACAAACCCTTTTTAGCTGACCTAATAAGTGAAGTGGGATTAAATGGATTAATTTATTGACCGATTACAGGTGTGTGTAACGATCTCATTCTTAATGCTGGCGAAATACATTTGAAATACTGGTAAAAAGGTATGCCATCAGTTAAGCTTGTAATATCATAACATAATTTAGAAAGTTTTACCTTTGCATTTTATCAAAACATAATATAATTGTGTAAAATTATTAACATGTTAAAGTTAAACTGATAAGAAAATGACACTCACCAAATTGAAAATACCTCCTTATCCTTATTACGCATCGTACAATCTTCCAATGGTTTTAGATATGGCCGACCATATCGTTAAAATTGTATAAATTAATTGAAACTATGGCTACTCGGCTGTAAGAATGGTGGGCGCCCTGAAAGCCAGCAAGAGAACCGCAACGTTCATATTGAATGCAGATGTCACTTAGGCGAGAAATATAGAATTCCTAAAAACAAATATTGGTGCTATCTGATGACATCTCGACCCCGATACATATCTACCTACTACTGGCCCTGTATACAACTGACAACTCTCGGCACCCACCCAAACAGCAGGGGACTCGGCCGCACACACACAATATATAACACTGAGGTGGTTTGTATTGAATACATTATACGGATAGCTAATGTTAGTTCTTTAATACCTGTTCACATTCAAAAGTACATTTTATACTTATATCGAATACACAGGTATGCGATATAACCAATATATATAACCTGTCCTGAGAAGTATTTCGATAATTTATACATAGTTTTTGATCATATTTAGATTTTGTTAACTAATACGCATTAATAAAGAGTAAATTGCCTACGCAAGCAAATCATGCAGTTGGAAAGATCACAGTGTTAACACACAAGGAAATGCATTAGGCTACTTATAAACATTGAAGTTGAGTCATTTGGCAGTGCAGTTTGTACACATTTTATTATCGGATAGTTATATAAATCCCTCTACATCCCTGTGAGGTCGGGGTTTGTACATGGATCAGTACCATACCTGTGAGGTCGAGGTTTGTACATGGATCAGTATCACTCCTGTAAGGTCGGGGTTTGTACATGGATCAGTATCATACCTGTAAGGTTGGGGTTTGTACATGGATCAGTACCATACCCGTAAGGTCGAGGTTTTTACATGGATCAGTACCATACCTGTGAGGTTGGGGTTTGTACATGTATCAGTACCATACCTGTAAGGTCGAGGTTTGTACATGGATCAGTACCATACCTGTAAGGTCGAGGTTTGTACATGGATCAGTACCATACCTGTAAGGTCGAAGTTTGTACATGGATCAGTACGATCCCTGTAAGGTCGGGGTATGTACATGGATCAGTACCATACCTGTAAGGTCGAGGTTTGTACATGGATCAGTACCATACCTGTAAGGTCGAGGTTTGTACATGGATCAGTACCATACCTGTAAGGTCGAAGTTTGTACATGGATCAGTACGATCCCTGTAATGTCGGGGTATGTACATGGATCAGTACCATACCTGTAAGGTGGTTTGTACATGGATCAGAACCAACCCTGTAAGGTCGAGGTATGTACATGGATCAGTACCATACCTGTAAGGTCGGGGTTTGTACATGGATCAGTACCATACCTGTAAGGTCGAGTTATGTGCATGGATCAGTACCATACCTGTAAGGCCGAGGTTTGTACATGGATCAGTACCATACCTGTAAGGTCGAGGTATGTACATGGACCAGAACCATCCCTGTACGGCCGAGGTTTGTACATTGATCAGTACCATACCTGTAAGGTCGAGGTATGTACATGGATCAGTACCATACCTGTAAGGTCGAGTTATGTGCATGGATCAGTACCATCCCTGTAAGGCCGAGGTTTGTACATGGATCAGTACCATCCCTGTGAGGTCGAGGTTTGTACATGGATCAGTACCACACCTGTAAGGTCGGGGTTTGTACATGGATCAGCACCATACCTGTAAGGTCGGGGGTTGTACATGGATCAGTACCATCCCTGTAAGGTCAAGGTTTGTACATGTATCAGTACCATACCTGTAAGGTCGAGGTTTGTACATGGACCAGTACGATCCCTGTAAGGTCGGAGTATGAACATGGATCAGTACCATACCTGTAAGGTCGGGGTTTGTACATGGATCAGTACCATCCCTGTAAGGTCAAGGTTTGTACATGTATCAGTACCATACCTGTAAGGTCAAGGTATGTACAGGTATCAGTACCATACCTGTCAGGTCGGGGTTCGTACATGGATCAGTACCATACCTGTAAGGTCGGGGTTTGTACATTGATCAGTACCATACCTGTGAGGTTGGGGTATGTACATGTATCAGTAACATACCTGTAAGGTCGAGGTTTCTACATGGATGAGTACCATCCCTGTAAGGGCAAGGTTTGTACATGTATCAGTAACATACCTGTAAGGTCAAGGTTTGCACATGTATCAGTACCATACCTGTGAGGTTGGGGTATGTACATGGATCAGTATCAGCCCTGTCAGGTCCCGGTTTGTACATGGATCAGTACCATCCCTGTAAGGTCGAGGATTGTACAAGGATCAGTATCATCCCTGTGAGGTCGAGGGTTGTACATGGAACAGTATCACACCTGTGAGGTCGAGGTTTGTACATGGATCAGTACCATACCTGTAAGGTCGGGGTTTGTACATGGATCAGTATCATCCCTGTGAGGTCGGGGTTTGTACATGGATCAGTACCATACCTGTCAGGTCGAGGTTTGTACATGGACCAGTACGATCCCTGTAAGGTCGGGGTATGTACATGGATCAGTACCATCCCTGTAAGGTCGAGGTTTGTACATGTATAAGTACCATACCTGTAAGGTCGAGGTTTGTACATGGATCAGTATCACTCTGTGTGATCGGGGCTTGTACATGTATCAGTATCATTACTGTATGGTCGAGGTTTGTACATGGATCAGTACCATACCAGTAAGGTCGAGGATTGTACATGGATCAGTATCATCCCTGTAAGGTCGGGGTTTGTACATGGATCAGTATCATCCCTGTCAGGTCCCGGTTTGTACATGGATCAGTACCATCCCTGTAAGGTCGAGGATTGTAGATGGATCAGTATCATCCCTGTGAGGTCGAGGGTTGTACATGGATCAGTATCACACCTGTGAGGTCGAGGTTTGTACATGGATCAGTACTATCCCTGTGAGGTCGAGGTTTTTACATGGATCAGTACCATCCCTGTGAGGTCGGGGTTTGTACATTGATCAGTACCATCCCTTTAAGGTCGGGGTTTGGACATGGATCAGTATCATCCCTATGAGGTCGGGGTTTGTACATGGATCAGTACCATACCTGTAAGGTCGAGGTTTGTTCATGGATCAGTATCACTCTGTGTGATCGGGGCTTGTACATGTATCAGTATCATTCCTGGATGGTCGAGGTTTGTACATGGATCAGTACCATACCAGTAAGTTCGAGGTTTGTACATGGATCAGTACCAAACCTGTAAGGTTGGGGTATGTACATGGATCAGTATCCTCCCTGTGAGGTCGGGGTTCGTACATGGATCAGTACAATATCTGTAAGGTCGGGTTTTGTGAATGAATCAGTATCATCCCTGTAAGGTCGGGATATGTACATGGATCAGTACCATACCTGTATGGTCGAGGGTTGTACATGGATCAGTACCATACCTGTCAGGTCGAGGGTTGTACATGGATCAGTATCATCCCTGGGAGGTCGGGGTTTGTACATGGATCAGTATCATCCCTGGGAGATCGAGGTTTGTACATGGATCAGTACCATACCTGTAAGGTTGAGGTTGGTACATGGATCAGTACCATACCTGTTAGGTCGAGGTTTGTACATAAATTAGGATCATACCTGTGAGGTCGGGGTTTGTACATGGATCAGTATCATCCCTGTAATGTTGAGGTTTGTACATGGATCAGTACCATACCTGTGAGGTCGGGGTTTGTACATGGATCAGTACCATACCTGTAAGGTTTAGGTTTATACATGGATCAGTATCATCCCTGTACGTTTGGGGTTGGTACATGGATCAGTACCATACCTGTAAGGTCGAGGTTTGTACATAAATCAGGATCATACCTGTGAGGTCGGGGTTTGTACATGGATCAGTACCACCCCTGTAATGTTGAGGTTTGTACATGAATCAGTACCATACCTGTAAGGTGAAGGTTTGTACATGGATTAGTATCATACCTGTAAGGTTGAGGTTTATACATAAATTAGGATCATACATGTGAGGTCGGGGTTTGTACATGGATCAGTATCAACTCTGTAAGGTCGGGGTTTGTACATGGATCAGTACCATACCTGTAAGGTCGGGGTTTGTACATGGATCAGTACCATACCTGTAAGGTCGAGGTTTGTACATGGAATGTACATGGATCAGTTCCATACCTGTAAGGTCAGGGTTTGAAAATGGATCAGTACCATACCTGTAAGGTCGGTGAATGTACATGGATCAGTTCCATACCTGTAAGGTCAGGGTTTGAAAATGGATCAGTACCATACCTGTAAGGTCGGTGAATGTACATGGATCAGTACCATCCCTGTCAGGCCGAGGTTTGTACATGGATCAGTACCATACCTGTAAGGTCGAGGTTTGTACATGGATCAGTACGATCCCTGTAAGGTCGGGGTATGTACATGGATCAGTACCATCCCTGTAAGGTCGAGGTTTGTACATGGATCAGAACCATCCCTGTAAGGTCGAGGTATGTACATGGATCAGTACCATACCTGTAAGGTCGGGGTTTGAACATGTATCAGTACCATAGCTGTAAGGTCGAGGTTTGTACATGGATCAGTACCATACCTGTAAGGTCGGGGTTTGAACATGTATCAATACCATACCCGTAAGGTCGAGGTTTGTACATGGATCAGTACGATCCCTGTAAGGTCGGGGTATGTACATGTATCAGTATCATCCCTGTATGGTCAAGGTTTGTACATGGATCAGTCCCATACCTGTAAGGTCGAGATTTGTACATGGATCTGTACCATCCCTGTAAGATCGGGGTATGTACATGGATCAGTACCATACCTGTAAGGTCGGGGTTTGAACATGTATCAATACCATACCCGTAAGGTCGAGGTTTGTACATGGATCAGTACCATCCCTGTAAGGTCGGGGTTTGTACATGGATCAGTATCATCCCTGTCAGGTCCCGGTTTGTACATGGATCAGTACCATCCCTGTAAGGTCACGGTTTGTACATGGATCAGTACCATTCCTGTAAGTCGGGGTTTATACATGGATCAGTACCATACCTGTAAGGTCGAGGTTTCTTGTTCGTGGATCAGTACAATACCTGCAAGGTCGGTGTATGTATATGGATCAGTTCCATACCTGTAAGGTCGGGGTTTGTACATGTATCAGTACCGTCCCTGTAAGGTCGAGGTATGTACATGTATCAGTACCATACCTGTATGGTCAAGGTTTGTACATGGATCAGTCCCATACCTGTAAGGTCGGGGTTTGTACATGTATCAGTGCCATCCCTGTAAGGTCGAGGTATGTACATGGGTCAGTACCATACCTGTAAGGTCGGGGTTTGAACATGTATCAGTGC